GGTGTGCCGAAATCGATGAGAGACGGCATGCCAAGAGCCACTGGGGCCTTCGGTGGAGCTTCACGTGGGCCCACGAGGCGAGTGAGGGGTGTGCTGATATGACCCAAGACGTCATGCGAAAACCGCCACTGGGGCCTTTGGCTGAGCACCCTGTGGGGCCGCGAAGCGCGTGAGAATGGTGTGCCGAAGGTGGTTCGAGACGGCATGCGAACGCCGCCACCAGGGCCTTCGGTAGAACGCCCGATGGCGCCACGGAACGTGTGAGGGGTAAAGCGAAACTGACCCGAAACAGCATGCGAACGCCGCCACTGGGGCCTTCAGTAGAGCGCCCTGTGGCGCCACGGAACGTGTGAGTGGTGAGGCGAGAAACTGACCCGAGTCGGCATGCGAACGCGGCCACTGAGGCCTTCGGTGGAGCACCCCGTGGGGCCGCGGAACGCGTGATGGGGTGTGCCGACACGGGCCCGAGACGGCGTGCTGAGGCAGCCACTGAGGCGTCCGGTGGAGCTCCCCGTGGGGCCACGGAACGTGTGAGGGGCGGGAGGGCTGGGAGCTAGGGTCCCCAGCCTCGCCCTGCGCTCGCACCTACGACGGCCCACGATGCCATCCACCTCTACTCCTAGCTACTTTGGGCGCCCGCCTGGCGGACCTCGTGTGATGTGCTTGCCCGTGCTGAGGAGTGGAGGCGGACACAGGCGGCGTCCCCCTCCTCCTCCTCCTCCTCCTCCTCCTCCTCCTCCTCCTCCTCCTCCTCCTCCTCCTCCCCCTCCTCCTCCTCCTCCTCCTCCTCCTCCTCCTCCTCCCCCTCCTCCTCCTCCCCCTCCTCCTCCTCATCCTCCGCCTCCTCCTCCTCAGCAGCAGCAGCAAGAACAGCAACGGGGGTGGCACTGCTCGAGGCCCGAGGGAGCGCGAGGCCAGGGACTGCTCAGAGGAAAGGAGAGGGCATGAAGGTCCCCCCTCCTCCCTCCTCCTCCTCCGCCTCCTCCTTCTCCTCCTCTTCCTCCCCCCTCCCCTTCCCCCTCCTTCCCCCCCTCCTCCTCTTCCTTCAACTCCTCCTTCTGCTCCGCTTCCTCCTCCTTCTCCTCCGTTTCCTCCTCCTCCTCCTACTCCTCCTACTCCTCCTCCACCTCCCCCTTCCCTCTTCCTCATGAACACGTCCTCCCTGTCGCACTACCCGACATGTCCATTGGCCGGGCCGAACGCTTCGATGGAGAATTCTCTAAAGCGTACTACCCCGAGCATTGAAGATGCTACAGGTTGCACGGATGGAGGGCGGCAGCTGTTCAACAATGTGACTCTCGACTTGCCGTTGTGCACATTCGTCGCAGAAGCTTCCAGCAGCTACGAAAACGGGGCGCGGTGCCTGTTCAAAATATGGCTCTCGCCTCGGCGCTGCAACCATTCGTCCTCAACGCTGCCAGCAGGTATACGAATTGGAGGCCAGCAAGTCTGTAAAACGTGAGGCGTGCCTGCGACGCCCTCGAAACATGCGACAGGCGTTCGCTTGTGCAGCAGCTTCACGGATGGACGAGGATCCCTTTTCAAAACGGGGCGTTCGCCAGAGGCTCCACGATGTGCACAGCAGGGGCCCAGGCACACGAAACCTCCCACAAGGAAGCCAACCCTGAGACCCCAGGACGTCCATTGATGTTTGGTGTGGGAGCGTCACGCTTCCCGTGGCAGACTCATCGAGACCCACGAAACCCAGTGCACCCTGGCGGCAAGCAGGATGTTTCTTGGCATGGGCCCCCACTGTAACAACCGGCGTTAGCAAATGGGCGTTGTTGGAAACCCTGTGCACAAAAACGCTTTCATCTGATGCGGGCGTATGCCTTACTTCCGCCGCCTTCCGCCGAGCTTCCGCCGGCGGAGGCGGCCTCGTTTTACTTCCGACGCCTTCCGCTGCGGAAGAGGCCTCCTCCTCCGCCTCCTCCTCCTCCTCCTCCTCCTCCTCCTCCTCCTCCTCCCTCCTCCTCCCCTCCTCCTCCTCCTCCTCCTCCTCCTCCTCCTCCTCCTCCTCCTCCTCCTCCCTCCTCCTCCACCTCCTCCTCCTCCTCCTCCTCCTCCTCCTCCTCCTCCTCCTCTTCCTCCTCGTCCTCCTCCTCCGCCTCCTCCTCCTCCTCCTCCTCCTCCTCCTCCTCCTCCTCTCCTCCTCCTCCCTCCTCCTCCCTCCTCCCTCCTCCTCCCTCCTCCTCCTCCCTCCTCCCTCCTCCCTCCTCCCTCCTCCCTCCTCCCTCCTCCTCCGCGAAGGCGAGGCCCTCTTCTGATACGCCCCACGTCGTGCACCCCGCTCCGCGGACGGAGGCCTGCTCCGTTCCCCCAAGGGGCGGGGCCGTCGCTGGGCGCACCGCCCTGCACCGCAGAGGCCTTCGAGCTCGAGGGACCGAGGGCGTATTGTGTTCGAGGGCTCGAGGACGCTTCGAGCTCGAGGGATCGAGGGCTCGAGGATCCCTCGAGCTCGAAGGATCGAAGGGCTCGAGGACCCTTCGGGCTCGAAGGA